TAAGGAGTAGGGCGAAAGTCATGCAATTTGTTGCCATAATACACCATAAACTGGGAATTTCCTGGACAAAGGGGGATGTGGATATACCCAGTGTGTAGAATACAGTGTTACTCGGTTGCAGATAACAGCCTCACTGATCACTAAAATCGTTTATTTCTTGAAGATAACACTCATTGAGATGGTCAAATTAAACCATATACTCCGAGAATGAGGCGATTGTGACAAACCTGAGAGGGACGGCGTATTCTAGTATTCGAATACCTGGACACTTGGAACGGACTTTGAATTTGTTGAAATGTGCACACGCCCAGATACTATAAGCATTATGGGTCTTGAGCAGTGGTCAGTTTGTTCCAAAAAGTACCCGGAAAACCAATCGCACCGTTCAAAGTGCGAAAACATTCGCCTGTTTGAACAAGACGATCAAGGGAGATTTACTTCACGCTAATTGAGCAGTAGTAGCATGTTTGACATGTCCCGGCATGGCAAAGGACATACGCTAGTGACGATGTACAAATACAGTGGAACTCGAGTTCAATGCCTCACTAAATTGACTTTATCATCATCGACATCGCATAGGTGCTCAATGCTGATGTTCCGCTGGCGTATAGCCTTAGGCTATTTGAAAGACTTGTTATAAAGAAAAGTGGGAGGGCAAGAGGTTAGTGCTAGCCTACCACAATAATTCCGACGTGCCTACATCACTTACTTTCAGACAACCTAGATAGAAACCGACAACAGCAACAACGCCACTGAGATTGGTCGGCAATCATCTTGCAGTGTTTCCAACACAAGCGGAATTACGTGGACCCTAGCCTGGAAGACGAGTCACGCCGACAGCATCCAGACTTTCTCTACTACCTTTTATAAACCCTGCTAGGTCAAAGATTAGTCTGCTCTGAATAGGACAAATAAAACAGTGCGCTTCTCTGCATTTGAAATACATGACCTGACCACCGCAGCTTTTGGTACTGCGCTTGTTATTCGATTAAAGTTTCTTTCAAACAATCGGGGATTCCTTTTCCAATCGTCTTGTTGCGAATTCGCCAGCATCAGCCTACCCGAGCTATGGTTCTGAGACAACGGCTGTCGAGGGCTTGAGGACAGTTCATCTGGGCTGCACGCACAGGAAACACCTTAAATCCATACAAAAACAGTCAACAGTATAGCCTGATGCACACGTCCCCTGAGGTCCAGGGGTACACGGCTTTGCCGCAACATATCTCCCAAATTAGCAAACGCAAACTGGACCTTAGAGATTCGTGCAGTAACCTCGTCTGTCATGCTAGAACCAACAAGTATACGGTTTCCAAAATAGGTAAAACGTTCCACAACTGCGAGTGCCTTTCGTTGGATTCTAATCCGCGCGTACAGTGACGGCATATCCGGGAGAATGACCGGACACAATGGGGTTGAGACGCTAATGCCATAGGACAGGATGACTTCGATTAGCTCATCCAAGAAACTGTCTGTTTCCTCCGAAGACGAGAACAATGTCTGTATATTCCATATCAGGCTTTTTATCAGCAGATATTTGAGAACCAGGGCCTTTAAGACCTTCCAGCGTTCGCTTCATTATAATGCAGATCATAGAATTGAATAGGTATGGATAAATGGAACGTACTTGACGGATGCCACTTTGTGTGTAGAAGGTTTTGGAGAATTTCAAGCATACAAAGAGCATATTAGATTGGCATTCCTTGCTGAGTCAAGAGTAGACCTGTCAACTGGGTCAAATGTGCCTTAGAAATCTAAGAATACCAAAATTGTGGGTCACTTATATGTATAGCTTGTTCTAGCACCTAAGGAACTATAAAAATTTGGTTAACTGAGCAAGAATCCGTTTGCTGCTCTCGGGTTAATGCTTCACGAGCTACCATCAGACGACGGAAGAAAAGTGACCTTATCGGAACTGGAATTAAGCTGATCCCTCTGAAACTATCGCAGTCATAACATCCTCAGTTTCTCAAAACGGTCACTGTTACCGATTCACCGCAATTGTCTGGGGCAGTCTCCTTTTCCTAAATGAGGGCGACTAGATCAGATAGGCGCTGACTGAGGTCTTCCCCACCATATTTGAAAAATGCGGGCAGGAGGTCATCCGGACTATGAGCTCGGTGCCTACTGAGTGTCAGCAGGTGACCTCGAGAATTTTCGTCCAAATTGCTCGACTTACCAGTCGAAGAATCCTCCTTTACTGAAGATGGTTTTACCAAGTTAGTCCTTGATTTTTGTCGCTTATCAGTGGCTTCCGAGTTCTTATTCCACGGATCAATCAGAGTGATATTCAGGCATTCCCGGTTTTCTGGGTTTCCTTTGTTTCCTTAGCTTTCTGTGTCCACCAGGCCATACGGTCGGTCCGCACGCTAAGTTTCACCTAACACTTGGTAATTCGTCTAACAATTGTTCAAGACCTGTGGGGAAATTTCTCGGAGATTCAAGTAGTGCTGATGTTTTGTTCGATATCCAGCATTTGTCTAGTAGCACCGCGCCAAACCCGGAACTCCCGGTACTGTACGGAGATGTGGCGGTCTCGTTCCAGAACGAATTCACATCTGGCAGTTGAGCGGTTGAAACAGAGTATCAGGAAGGTCAGTTTCCTGAAAACAACCACTGAGTGCCCGAAATCTACCCTCAGCTCCGCTAGATGTTGACCAGACATAACGCCCACTCAGTATGCAGAGCTTCACAGCCTTGTATCAAACCCAGACAGCGAGTCAGCGTAGATCATGGTAAAACAATACACCCGCAATATGCAGAGCGTCGCAGCCTCGTAGATCAAGGTCAAACAATACCCCCGCAATATGCAGAGCGTCGCAGCCTCGTACCAAAGCCATATCGTGTGCGTCTGCATTGGACCAAGTGCAGACGGTGTTCCTCCAATAAACAGCCTGAGACCGTTGTACATTCGCACTCACTTGTTCGGAATATAGCTTTTGTGTTCCCTTCTGTGAGTCTTCTTTTCCGGCACTAGGCACTGGAGCGGGTCAGCAGCAGATACCAGATTGGCGAATCAGCAGATACAACACAGAGTCAAGAAGACGGTTCTTGTAATTTAGTCTAACTCCGGGATCTTCCAGCTGAGTTGCTAAGCGAAGTGTCAGGGCTACAGTCGGCTGTAGCATAAGCAGACACGACAAACATTTAGCGAACAACTCACCTTTGAGGTTGCACAGAGGCGACATTCAACAATTACTCATTCAAGCAAGAATTCTGCAGCAGCAGAGGTGAGCAGTCCCCCCATCCAAGTATAGCTATGTGGGTTATGGTCCAACAAAACGACAGGGTCCATAATCTTCGTGAAGAACATTAGCTTAGAACAGATTGTGTTCCCTTCTGTGAGTCTTCTTTTCCGGCACTAGGCACTGGAGCGGGTCAGCAGCAGATACCAGATTGGCGAATCAGCAGATACAACACAGAGTCAAGAAGACGGTTCTTGTAATTTAGTCTAACTCCGGGATCTTTCTTCCAGCTTGCTAAGCGAAGTGTCAGGGCTACAGTCGGCTGTAGCATAAGCAGACACGACAAACATTTAGCGAACAACTCACCTTTGAGGTTGCACAGAGGCGACATTCAACAATTACTCATTCAAGCAAGAATTCTGCAGCAGCAGAGGTGAGCAGTCCCCCCATCCAAGTATAGCTATGTGGGTTATGGTCCCACAAAACGACAGAGTTCATTCTCTTCGTGAAGAACATTAGCTTAGAACAGATTGATTGCACGAAGATAGGATCACACTATCCAAATGAGGGTTGCGGGTAGATACTGCAAAACCCGGAAGCATTCGCAAGTCATTAATCTATCCATCACCCATCCGTTCAGATTGTCATCCAGGGCTGTTTCGACAGGGCCTTTTGAATTCCACAAAATAGTCACTCACCGGGTTATACTTATGAACTAGATTAACCTTATTTAGCGATTATGTGAAATAAATAAGGTAAATGAGCGGCAGTTATTTACTCGGTAGACCTCATTTTCTTGTGTTATATGGAAAAATATGTTCCTGTATTTCGAATATGTTAACATCACATCGGTGATCGACCATCTTCTTGAAAATCGTTTGCCTGAGTAGTGATAGAAGTTAGAAATATTGCATCATGATCGTATTGCTGATTGTTTACAAGGAATCACAAAAAAACACGTACCAAAACTGCTCTGCTTCCATCAGTTTCACTTCAGTGAAAAACCGTACATGTACTTGAGCACTAGTGGTGGTGTGAGATTCTGACATATTTAAATGGAGACTTCGTCCTGTAAGTGAAACCAATCTATGCTGAAAAACCAGGAAGCACTGCACAACTGGTTAAACGTTATCGGGAATCATGGACAGTTTCGACCACGCGACCTTCCGGCCAGTGGTTGAACACTTAACCATCTGGCCACGAGCGGTTTGACAGCAGTGTGATTAATGCTCACCCAAAATGTGCTATTCGGAGATAGCAAAAATTGAGGTCATCGGCGCGACCGGCTCATCCCGCCACAGAAGCCAAACGCTCTTACGCATCACAAACGTTCAGCGAAGCATTCGTCAGCCCAGTGTAGGAATGGTTTGTGTGGTCTACAGAACCGGCTCTAGTGTTTTCGGAAACTAATCTTGACTTGCCAGTACATCAATCCTCATACTCGTGAATAAATATCCAGAGAGTAACCAGAATCTGAACGGATTCAACCGTCCATCTTAACTAGATAAAAAATTCGAATACTCCGGCTTTCATGCGGAAGCGCCTCATAAAACTAGAGTATTTGAACCTGTCACAATCAAGACTAACGTTCGGCGATGTTGTTCACATTGCTGTTAAATACAACCAAGCCAAATCATTCCGCGCAACGCAAGGACGGTGTAGAAACTGACCAATCACTAGCACTTGTTTAAGGGACAAGAGAATAGGTGATTTCAGGATTTATTGCGGCAAATGAATTCTATAGGGTCCAATAAACCGATATACACATATCAGAAAATAGTTCAGGGAGATCGTCACAAGGGGAGCGGCCGAATCGACAAGCGAACGTCCTCGGGAAACAGCTCACTGGCGCGCGCATGCATGGCTCGATATGCACATGTGATGGTCGCTTCTGCACATCCAGCAACCTCTCCAATTTCTGAAAGAAAAGATATCAGTTGATGAGATTACACTCGAATGTCATTGTCATTGTCACAACATTAAAGCTCAGTATCAATGATTCATTGGTGTACAACCATAATCCAGTTGAAAGCCTTGTTGTGAAGAGATGAGTAAAGTGAGAAGGGACCTAGTGATACCCTACACTACAACCTACACCTCCAGACACTTATTCAGACAACCTCGGTAGAAACTGACAACAACATAACTACTGGTACCGACTAATGGCCGTATCTTTCAACCTCTTCAACCACGCATAGACGAGATCATGCTCATCCCACCCAGACTTTTTATAGTCGCTTTCATACCCGTCTGTCAGGTCAAAGGTAGACTCCCTCCCTGCTTGCACCAATGTGGATTGGGCATAGAAGATAGCACTCTATTCGACAATCGCTGAGACACCAAGCGAAATACACGAGCAAACCACTGCAGCTTTTAGTGCTGGACATTGTATTCGATTAAAGTCCCCTTTGCATAGCCACACACTAGCTTTCTAACTGTCCAATCGCGGATTCGCCGGAAGTAGCTTACATGAGCTATGGTGCTAGGACAACAGCTGTCGAAGACCTGAATACATCTAAGCTCGACTGCCCGCAGAAGCCATACCTCACAACTACACAAAACAGCCTGTAATGCGGTCTGATTTACACCCTTGGGTTTCACAGGAATGCTGTTTTGCTGCCATAGGTGCCTCGCCAGTAGCAGGAGATTCGAGCCTTAGAGACCAGTGCGTTGACGTTGACTGTCACACTACCGTCGGAGCTTACAAGACTTTCAAGATAAGTGGTGCAATACACAAACTGGACTACCTTGCCTTGAGTTGCAGGTAGTGACTGCATGTCCGGAGTACGACCTAACACATCACGTGGGCAAAAACGCCTGTTCTTGTGTTCAAACACGCCACTTACGAGCCAAGGAGAGGCACCATATTCGCCGAAACATAAGCTATTGGTCTCAGTATGCACTACAGAAACCGAGTAAACAAATTTCACAGATTAGCCACTAATCGGTGAGAAATTAGACAAAATTTACTCACCAATACCAAGCAGAAACTACAGGCAGCTATGCATTACAGAAAGCTGTCACATAATCAGAATGTGGTCGCCAGTCTCAACGTCAGGGGCGACTGATAATTGTGAGGTCAGCTACTACCAACTGGTGAATTCTGCATTACGACCAATAGACAAAGTAAGGAATCTCATTTGTAAAATCAATAGCTCTGCATCACAGTACTGAACCAACGTGTTGTAGCAAGACTCAGACACAGTAAAGAGGCAATCCTTTTGGAAGGCTTAAAGTCTACGGTCTACGAGTGAAGAAACCGAACAAACCCAATGCTCTGTCACTTCGTGGTCCACTGATAAACAAATTGAATGAGTGGCTGAAGCTGCTTCAATCCGATTACTTAAACTCCCTGCATTACTTCCTAACTAACCGCTACCACACACTCGAAATCACTGCTAACTAAATCTATTCAACCAAAACGAATGTATCTATGATTGCATGCGCGAAATTTGCAGTGGGATGGTCTCGTGAAACTTGCGATAACGAAATTTGATGCCACACTGGTGAATGCGAGCTATCCTATTGTCCAAGCTTATCCCAACATCTGGAGGTAGGTGTGCATCAGGTAAGTCGACATGAGCTGCTTATGAATAATGATGTACATAGGTGGTATAATGGGCACTTTGACGCAACTTTTCGCTCACTTATAATGATGCGCAGTTGGCAGAACTTGAATAAGAATGACAGGATGGTCCAATATACACAAAACGGATAATCTGGAATTACGGAGACGCAAGAAGCGTGCTTATGATGGCTATTGTCAGAGAGAAGTAAAACTTTCGAAACGTGTTCATGATAGGCAAGACGCCTGCTCTATGGCTGGAAGGTATGCGTCCGGAAGGGATGTTTATGGGAAGTCCCATCTATTTTAATAGGGCAAATGGTGGAGAACTGATAACACGGTTTTAAGAGGGGTGATCTTTAGGTGGGACTACGTATTGGAGGGAAAGCCGTTAGATAGAAGAAGTACTGTATCAATGCATTGCAAAGGCAGGAGAATGAAGGAAAGCATACCTCGTTTTTCCTTCTGATACCCCAGAGCGCAAGCGGCCATGTAGATTGCCGCGGCTGCAACCGATACGGGACTGCGGCCAGCAACCAAATTTAGATTGAGAGCACGCCTGGCCACAACGTTAGCAACTCGTTGGACAGCAATGTTCAAATTCAAGTTGCCACAGAATCGAGACATGAAGTCCTCCACAGTTACGGATTGGACATTTGTCTCCAGAATCTTCAAAATCTTTTTGAATACCTTGCCAATTTCTTTTTTGGATACGCGAGAGACGGCACAAACCTCTAGATCACGTGAAAAGTCAAATAGATAGGCCAAAATATAAGCATTCATGTGATATTCAGTTGCTTATAAATACAAGTGCACCAAGTATCCCAAAGCACAAACCACAAGTCCAAAGAAATTCTACAGAAGAATAACATATGGAAACTCATCACCTGAGGATCAGTCACTACAAGTTGTGCGTATGAAAAGATTAGAATCCACTCATGAAGATGATATCGCCCCACGGCGTGTTGCCAAATCTGAAGGAATTATCGAATTAATTAGGATTTCCCAACATTAGACGTCTATACGAAAAGACAGCCAGAAAATCACTCGCGGTTGAATTAACTGGATGGGTCTCATGCGGCAAATGGTTTGCTCCCAACTAAGGCTTCACCTGGTATACTTAAATAACGAATCCTGGTGACATTGAACGTAGACGCTCAGTAACACAGGATCCATTCAGCCATCACTTATCAGTGGTAACCAGCGCCACAAAACCAAGCAGTTTCGACTGCCGTGTCCTGTTAGTGCGAATGCCGAGGAACCGTGATGCAGAAATGCCCATTATTTACCACTATTTTGGATAAAACCAAATCGATGGGTGAATGTTCATAGCAAAATCCATGAACTCATTGCTTGAGGAGTTGCAGCGCAGGGAACTTAGCGAATCGCACAGTTAGATGGCGGTACCACACACATGCGGACAGTGGAAAATCAAATACGCCGGTAAAACATCAAGTTCCTAGTGGAACAATACTCGCAAGTTGCTGAGGTCTTTGCGAGCGATTTCGCCCCCTTCGGAGACCATCAGGTGAGCACATTCCAAAATTTCCTTTAACCACATGTTCAAACTGAACCAGAAATGTAGCGAAATTCGCGGATTACACTCATCTGCACACCAATCAAATGAATCCTAGCTGGCTCTCCCGTCCATGATATTCTTCAACTGAATGTGCTACACAAAGATTGCCTCCTGTTTCGGCTCGTGTGACACCATCGATATCGCAGTATATTTTCCTAAAGGAAACCACTTACAAAGATGCTGAAAACTCTTCAACAGCCTACGGCAGGTTTCGTCCCCCTTAAGGCTCATCAGGTAAGCGCAGTTTCCTCAACCATATGTCCTACCTGAATCTTAATTGTACGAAATTCGCGAAATACACTCATTTGCACACCAAGTTGGTTTTTATGAGGTACCCGAATGGATTCCGTCCGAATTCCTCGCTTACGGCGTTCTTCAATTGAAATGCTACAACCTTATGGTTAGTCTGTTCCGACACGCAAACATATTGCAACATCTAGAATACTTTTTCAACTGCAACATGAGGTGGCCTTTGTGCGGTCCATTCAGATCAAGTTATTCATCCCACTTTTTGGCTACCACATTACAGAAAGAAAGCATCACGAGCATCGAGAGAACTAATTTCGGAGGACTCACGAATGTCTCTCCTCTATGGATCCCCCCCTCTGAAATGAGTGACCCCGATCTCGATGTCCTCTGCAACGAATCAATAGAAAAGTATGTTTCCTGCGGGTGTTTTTGACAGCCAGTTTTCACTTTGTCCAAAGTGAATATATGAATAAAAGGACATTCTTGTGCAACGTCATGATGGCTCTGTATGAGGACCGACGGTTTCTGTCAACTGTCATGACAAAAATACTATGGTTAGCGCGGATTTGTTCCTTGAAGAGAAACATCTCATTCAAGACGAGCTAAGAATTGTCGAGCTGCAGCAGGCTTTCGATGTGTAGCTGCCATGCTACCCGAAGGAAGTACGAGGGCTGTAATACTGCCAGGTTGCCCAGGCCTCGAAAGGAAAGTCGAGATGCGGAGGTCGGGTCTGAACCACGGCCCTTCTGTTCAGTAAATTCGTGCCCTAACCAGTGAGCCATCTCGCCCCAAAGTCTGCGTTCATAGGTATTCTGCACCTCAGTCTCACTTTGTGTATGAGGAGAAATTCTCAACACACAACTGGACACAGTACACAAAATCGAGCTTCAGTCAGGTCTTCCGGCACAGCGACGATAGGCTAATTCCATAGCCCGCTGTAATATCTAAGGACGACCTGTTAGCTGCATCATTAATTGACTGGCTGGGGAAGACACGTTATTGTCTATGATCGCCAGTCTTGAAAGACAATGAAATACCACGCACTGTTGAATCATTAATGAATAGGTTGACGAAACATGACTCTTTAAATTGGAACCTGCCGACTGTTGACAGTACTACTGGTTATTCAGTCGGATAATGAGCTGCATCTTAAACGAGTACTGGACTTGATGAATCTACTCACCAACATATTTGTCCACACCACCATCCCTTATGTGCACAATTCGATGTTCAGTCAGAATGGTGTGCACGAGTTTCCCCTGCTACTATTGCTACTACGTTGGCGACATGGTCATCTGAGTTGGATAGAAAACGTTCAGGGCATAACTAGAAGTTCTCGTTTGGAAAAAAAATCAACCAACTGGTGGTCCTTTTTGAAGAGCTTTTTCTTGGTTGGGTTTTTTGTTGTGAGTCATTCCTACAAGAAAAAACATTTGTCTCTCTCATTCTTGTTCGGGAGACTACGTTGTCAAAACAGATGATGACAGAAGATGTAATCTGCCATTAATACTTTGGGAAAGTAGATAACACATTCCTCCTGCAATCGTCTGGTTGACTGATAAATAAATACTGAGATACTGTTTTGATTTAGTTAAGCCCCTAATCAGTACTCTCAATCTACATGGCAAGTAAGTGGCATGTGCACTGTACTAAAACAAAAATCAATTAGGTCAAGAACCTGCTACTATCTTAGGATAGTGTTGCAACATTGTTAGTTACACTGACAGTTTTTCGGTCAAATGGTAGAACTATTTCAATGACAAAAGAATATTGTTACTGGATATCTTGTCTTAGGAGTAAGTCGTCCGTGTTGGGAAACTATTCTGTTCTGGAAGGTTTGTCCCCTTTGACTAGGATCATGACACGACCGCAGTGTGTCCTAGGTAAGGGCGTTTCCTTGGCATTATTGTGTTGCCGAATTGCCTGAACAGAGTGTAACCAAGGTTAGTTCCATCAACAACTTTGAAACGGTAGTCTCACAAGAGCGTCCGGTGTTCCTGAGTCATATATGTTTGTTAAGTCGCAGAAAAAAGCCAGCGGCTGCCAGGACGCCCAGAGGAAAATAACAATACACTGTTCATTTACTGCTGTTTACAGACTTCTGTCTGTAAGAGAAGTGAACATTTATTGGAACATTTTATTGGAGTGATTCGTTCCCGTGTTCAACGGACCGTTTGCGCTATGATACTCTACCTAACCCTTAAGATACACACGTTCAGATACCACGGACTGTGAGTGAGATAGAGTTAAATTCCCCATATACGATAATAGACTTTTTAAGAGTTATGGGTGTGTTAACACCTCAATATGCATTGATTTATGCTAACGAACTCGTGTGGCAGTAAACTACGATATTCCACACCATTCCCACTTAACCTATTCATAGTTTGCAGGGTATGTGGTATAGTAAGCAGTGGTGGTAGCAAAAGTAGTTTTCCGCTAGCTAACGAGATGGGTCTACAAAAGAGTCCTATAAATGGGGGAATTTAGTAAACAAAACACACAAGACAAATAAGGTTCGTCGAAAAATTGCATCGATGGATGTTTTACCCTCGTAAGTGGATTGCACATAATCGTAGTACAGCGGTTGGTGTACTTTAGTAACCCACTGAGCTGTACTGCAGGATGCCCACTCGATTTTGACTGTCCACCAGTTGTTTCTCAGCAGTGAACGTCGTTGTGCTACCTGGAAAAACGCCCTACTACCTCCACACTCCTATCGCAAAGGACAATACGACTTTACCTCCAGACCGCTTCGCAATACAATTACTCACAGTACGGGGACTCGCTTTCTTCGTCGGGGTGCTCCCCGTTGATCTTACTGGATGGTAGAACCTTTAGGAACTGGGTTCTAGCCGGTATAGCCCGCAGGGTCGTTGCAGCACAGGAGCCTAACCACCACGACAATGTGGCAGCTTCAGGTCGCCTGAGACGCAAAACAGGGTCGCTGCAGCACAGGAGCCTAACCACCACAAGGTGGCAGCTTCAGGTCGCCTGAGACGCAAACTGGAGAGCATAAAGCACGATTTCGACCTGCTAAGCGGTGAACCAACAATATCTTTACATTTTATCAGGTACCTGAGCAGCGTCGATCAACAATCGCGGTTTTCCTGAATTCTAGGGAGACCTTCAACTCCGTGAATAGGTTCGCTCTTTTAAGGATTCCTGTCCAACGGGTGTGCTGGTAAAATATTTTAACATTCTCCGAGTTCTGTGTTCCCATACATGAGGTCGGGTTAGGGTGTGCAAAGGCTTCCTCACAACCAAAAAAACTTCCTCAGGGTCCTCTCAACCCTTTCTATCCACTGTTGTCATTGACTTTATCAGGAACTGCATACTCCAAGGCACGACGAACCTAGGTATCGAAATCCGGCCTGCAGAGTGGTTATTGGATTACACGGACGATATTATTTTGTTGTTTAACAGCTGTTTGTCCCGCGAGGTACTCTATACGGGATATAGAACTTGGTCCCATGTTTTCCCACGCGTTTTACATCTTTAGAAAACAGTCTTACTTGACGGGTTCCCATTTCACTGTACCTCATTGAAACTTTAGACTGAAGAAAGGGAGATTTTGATCGGTGTATATACTTCGGCAGTCGTATGAACAGTGAATGTACAACGACAGATACGGACGCCAATACGCGGATAATTAAGGTACAAGCAGTGTCCACGAACATGTCTCACGGCGCTGGAAGTAAACTTCGCTAGAACTAAAGGTCGTGTATATGATGAGACTGTATAGTCTGTCTTACTTTATGGTTTTGGGGCTTGGTCCTTCGATCCAAGGATCTTGAGTGTCTCCGTAGCATAGCAAGAGTCAGCTCGCTGTAGTGAGTGCTGTGAGATCCACGAGCCTTCCTTGATAGGGTCCACGTGATCCCGCTGGTACGTGGTTAGAAACTCTGTAGGACGTGGCATGCAACTGATCCCAGTGACACACACGCTTCTATCTTCTGGCCGGACTGCCTAGCAAAATACTGCCTGTCATTGTCCACTGGGCCAATGTCGCTTAAGTTGTGCTGGGTCAATCTCGCTGATGGTGCCCTCAGCATCACCATGATCGACGATGACGCTTCGCTGCCATATGATGTTGACTTTACTCGAAATGATGCCCAAGTGTACTTAATTCAATGCTTTGCATAAGTGTAGTCGTTCAGCTGTAGCACCCTTTCGGTGCCTAGCTGCCATGCCACACGAAGGAGGCACGAGGGCTGGGATGCTGCCAGGTCGCCCAAGACTAGACAGGGGAAGTGTAGAGGCAGAGGTCGGGTTCGAACCACGGGCCTTCCGGTCAGTAAATTAGCGCTCTAACCACTTGGTCCAACTCGCCCTTACTCTTGGCCGTTTTCCTTAGAGACACGGAATTTATCGCACTAAATCCCTACCCCCTCTTCCCTTCCACTCTCTACTAAATTCTTTCCCCATGGCTGTATGGTAGTGAAGCGCCAGTATGCATGACTGATGTGTTGCTCTCAATGATGACGTGTTGAGATATGGGATCAACTTAAGGATACCAAAATAATGTGGGCGCGTGAAAAGATGCCGTTTGTATTATTCGTCAAAAATAACACATACAAGCCACCTTGTGTGCAGATGGAAGTGAACTGAACTTGAGTGCAGGAATTTCAGTAGCTTTGTGGCTATGTACTTCCCGTGACTAATTCACCGAAAACCTACTGGACAACCTGTATCATCAGAGTAAGCACCTCACTCCATACTAATGCAGGTTCGGTATTCACTCTTCTGGGTCGTTTTAACTCACAATGCCTTTTCGCCGTGCCACCTAACTGCAATTTCCCATTTAAAGTCACTTCATCTAAAGACGGCAAAGGAGTACGCTGTACAGCGAAACTGAGTCGTCATCATTATCGAGCGTGACATTCGTATGCCATGATTCTTTAGGAAACAGCCAGCGATCACATATAGAAAGAAAACCTATCCAACTCCGCCAATGAACAGAGCTCATGGGCTTGAAGTATCCCATTCCATAACGCTGCGCAGCTATATGCACTTCCATTCTGTCGAAATATTTGGCCTGCTTGACTGCTTTATCATACAAACAAGGCTGTCGACATACGCCAGACAGTTAAACCGATATGTTAAGCTTCTGCACAATTAAAAATACCAATACGGACGGCTGCACGAACGTCATGCATGTTTTACCAAACGTCAAAAAATACACTGTGTGCTGAGCACTATTGGCGGCCGCAATTTGCTTTACACCGTATCGGTTTTTTGTCGCGGCTAGGAGGCGAGACGAGAAAAGGCACGCAGACAGTTTGAAACGGATAAGTGAAATACATGTTTGACTTACTTTTGTGTGCAGTCGCTGTGTCGTGACGCCATAGTAGCAGGCCTTCAGTGACCTAGCTATATGAAGTGCGTGGCTACATAGCGGGTAGAATCCCCACGCAATTGTTCAGTTCACGTTCATGTGCACACTAGTGTTTGAGGTAATGTGCGCACTTTCTCGACAGACAGTGCACTTCTGATTATAGGTCCCGAAGAACGTGGATCAATTCCGTGTGACAATTCAGCAGTGTTTAATCCCCCCCCCCCCACTGAAAAAGCACGTTCCTCACACAGAAATTATCGTGTTTTTCTACTGCTGAGCACTTGGCGAAAGGTGCGATGTGTTTTTCGCCAACTGAATGTTCCACAAAGATCCACGTGATCGAAATACACCCTAAGGATGTTGCTCCCCCTGTTATGATAACAAGACAAACACATGGTTGCGAAAAATCCATTTGGGTCGAGACCACTGATTGAGCAGGACAGCTGTACCTGACTTGGTTCAACTGCGCCGAGGTCAGTAAGGACTATGTGAACAATGTTACAGTAGCAGTCAAGGCCGATTATTAAGCGCCCATTCCAGCGCTTGATTCCTTTTAGTAAATCATAAGATGAACACCCAAAGAATGTCAAATATGGATTAAGTACCGGTACATTGGTGAGAGCGATTTGTATTTTTCAGTCAAGACCGAATCCCTTCGAGGAGGATTCTTCACCTAAACGAACGAATCTGGTCGAACCTAAGGTGTGATGTCTACAGGGGAATCATTGAAACAAGTCCATGAAAGCTTACTCCGGCCAGCAACCACATCTACGTCCCACCGGTCCCCAAACTATAGAACAGCAGTACCACCCGTTCTTCCCAACACTGCGCTGTGTGGCAATTGATTTGCCAAGCTCGGGAACATATCAACAGCCACCACAGAATAAAGCACGTGATCTCACTAAAAAAGGTAAGCAGTATGAGTCTTTCTCTAACATATCGACGGAATCGGTTTAAGACTGGGTGAGGAGGAAGTCTCCACAAGCAATAGACAGCTTTCTGTCCAAAAACGCCAAAAAATGGTATTTTGATGTGATTTTTCGCATGAGATAAGGGCTCATTTATAGGTTGTACGGTCGTGTTTCTAAATTTCTCTTGTTGCAACACATGACTACTGATGGCTAGTGCAAACGATGCGGATGGGGATTAGCTCGAACAAGCTCAGTCATTCCTTACCTTTGAAAGTTCGAGGAACGCCCTCCTGGCGGCAAGCCATATATAAGCAAGCTGTTGATACTGCATCATTGCTACGCCCGCGGAGATTTTTCGTCTCGTATACTTGCTTGAATAGTAAGTTGGCATGATCCTAAAATACGAACAAAACAGCTGTATGAAGATTCGTAAGGCACCCGAAGTAAAAGCATTGTCATAATCTTACTGAAACAATCGACTACCCATTAGATTTGCCAGGAGGATACTCGTCCAGAATATGGTTCATCGAAAACGTTGCCCCCATGATGGGCATGATCACCTTGGAGTATAAAAACCTACTTAAGGTTTTCGGGGAACAGTGACGGCAACCCACATAAACATTTTATGGGAATAAAATGGTAAGTAACCACATTACTTTAAGGTTTCCACACTTCGTTGACTTTCGTTCTTCAGCGTCCGGGAGTTCCTTGATCATGCCTACGTGTTAGCGGAACAGTGGTAGGTAGGTGTTTCATAACATCACGGAAGATTCTCCTTGTGAGAAAACCAGCCAACGATGTTCCGAAACCGCAGGTCTAATACCAAAATATCTAAATAACCCGCATCCAACGACACCTTAGGCATGATGTGAGATTTGTACCCCCAGCATCACTGTGCGAGATTGTCCCATGACAACAAACTGGACGTTGATGCACTACCATGCTGTCAAGACCGAGTTGTCGCCTCGGTGCTCCACACCGCAACAGATTCATATGTAATGGTGTGACGGAACTAAATCTACGTCAGAACCCCCTGAAATCATTCAGGTTGATTGGTTGTACGGCAGTGAAGCATCAGTGTTGAACACTGATGTCATGCTGTCGATGATGATGATGATTCTAGTTGAGACTCACACCTAATGCCATTCCTGCTCGTTTGTAACAAGGCTAAAACAATGATCAACAAAAACGCTTTGGATACAACCGTTTGGACCAGAACTACTACTGTATCTGTTGTGCACATAAAGCCTACATCGACGCCTATTTAGCACAGATAAATGTGTGAAGCAATTCAAAGATGTTAGGCAAAAGAAGCATAGTGAACATCAAGCATCAGTCAAAACGACCTCATGAGGCAAAAACGACTAGGAGGCACCAGGATACCAAGTGAGTGAACCATGTGTGTTGGGTAAGAGATTACCCGTGCTGGCGCGTCTCAGTGATTTTTCCTTCATTCACACTGACTCTATTTAAAGGAGTTGACTATAGTGACGGAAATTCCTACTCTGGAAGCTAACAGTCGGAGACTGGAAGTTCCCCCGGTGTTTCGGCAAGACAGCAATCTTTTATTAAACGTAGCAACAAGACCGCATGTCCAGCCAATCCCATTAAGTAAAAAAAATTCAGTGTCTTGCATCCGTTCATTGCCTTAGCCAAAACAAACATGTAAACTTAAGCTGTTCGGTACGTTGTAATCGGTGAATACTCCGAGACGGGGGAGTGGAAAATGTGGCAGAGAAGAGAGTATATACCGAGCTCGGGATAGCTCAGTGGATAGGCGCGAACTTACTGATCGAAAGGTTCGCGCTTCGAACCCAACTTATGCATCTCGACTGCTCCAGTCTAGGCTTGGGCAACCTGACGGTACCTCAGCTCTCGTGCTTCCTCCGAGCAACATGGCAGCCAGGCACCGAAATGATGTTACAGCTGAACGATGACTATAATTAACAAGATACCAACAGCCTTTCTCTCTTACCAGAACAAGCGTATCAGGCATATGATACTTACAGATATGCTTTTGGGAAGGTTAAGATGTTCGGCCATTTGGCCAATTTCACGAAATGCACCCGTTAGGACTCGATCTGCAGAGGATAAATGCCGGCGACTTTTGTAAAGTGCTTTGCCCTGATCATCTACTTGTCTGGAGTCTGAAAAGGATGGCCCACTGATCATTGTGGATAGATCGCTGCCACTAAGAAGCGGGTTTTCGCTTGACCCAACACGGCACATATCCTTAGCATTCGCATCGTTAGAAAAGGTCCGCCACTCGGATCCGACATCAATCACACTGCAAAAGAGTGTTGTAAAAACAAAAGAAACGGGCTCAGGATCAAGTGGGGGAATGAAAAACGATAAACATATTAGAAATGAGGGTCTGAGATCTGTTGGTAAATATATGGATAGCGTTCCGATCGGACTTGACTTTTAACAGTGAAAGCCTGTAAGCACATGGAGAGCCGTAGACGGCTTGTGAGGAGCCGAATGTGGCGTAAGGCCCCGGGGTCGATGTGGTCTCGAAGGGATGGGAAGAGAACGGTTGACGGCAGGACATTTTTATTCATATATATATATATATATACTTTACAATATATATACATATACACAAAGAACTAATGGATTATTCGTGTTATAAGAAATTTGGGATTCGGACCATCCTTCCGAATAGAAACCACCGGCCAGATTACGAGGACAAACCTTACTGGAAGAATTCAGAAAAGACATCAAGACTCCACCCTAGTGGATAAACCGAAAACAGGTCATCTCAGACCAGACATTTAGAAGAATATTACTTGGGTGAACCGGTATAAATGACAAGTGGAGGACCGGTGCTACGAAATACAGAACTACTGGAGGACCGTCGTCGGAAACGAGAGATGTCACCAAGCATGTCTTCTCGTTTACGGTAAGTGCACTTGGATTTCGCATCTCACTTCGCACAATGCAAAAGACAAGCTCTTAAGGATGGGTGAACCACTGCATTGACTTGTTCAGTTATCCTCCTATCTGTCCACGGCGTCTTATGCCGGTTTATCCAAGCACTACTCTTTTAGACTTCTGATTCTGACGCGGGTTGTCGAACGTTAAGGAAAAAGCATATCGCACCATCCCTGAAAAACCGAGTAATGGTGAGAAATGCGAATGGTCCGTAAAGGGGGAATATGAGCGACACTGGCTACAGATGGTAAAACATATATTCATTCCACAGAAAACAGGTTTCGTGAAAAGCATCCTCAGCGGGCGTGATAGGAGCGCTTGGTTAACCGAAAGCAGGGTGTAGGAAGACTACCGAGTAACTAGGCACGATCACCGAATTCATATAAACCGCTGAATAATCATCCATCAGCAGACAGGAAGATGAGTACTTGTTCGCGGCAAATTATGATACACGTACAATATACACAACGAATGGGAAATTGGAACGTACCGATCAGCCACCACGAGACCGCACATTGAACAAACCATATCCCCAGCATGCGAATCCTCGATTAGCACTGCATAGGGGTGATACTTGCATTCAAGCTTGCTCCTGAAGTTCAACGTCAGACATGATTGAGCTTACATTGTGAACCAACGTGCAGGCTACAATGCGCCCAGAAATCACAGTGGATAAAGGAGTCGGTCAACCTGTAAAGAGGAGTTCAGTGACCGGGTATACACCATAGGTAATATTTGTGGTACAGAAGCATCCAGAGAGGTTAGGAATAAAGGCTAGGTTAATTTAGACTCATCATCATCATTGTCAGTTGTAATAACCGCGTACTCATCGTACAGTGGTTGTAGCTGCCGCAGTTTCGTTCACCGATGGTCTGGGGAGGGGGTAGGTAGCTGCGCATTGCAGGCGGGAGATGATAAATTGGTGCATAAATCCAGCAGTCAGTGGGCTGTCAAGTGGGGGAGGGGTTGGAAAAGGAGCTATGCATTAAAGGCGATAGCTTGGATGCACGAGCGCCATTGAGGGCGCGACTGGGCCATATCTGACAGTGTCTCTAGCCGTTGATGTGGCCCGTCTCGGGGTCCCCCTCCAGGAAGATGGCAATGACCAGCGCAGCTGAGTTTGCTCGTAATGGCTTTCATACTTCGCTGCCAAGTCATTGTTTGACCGCCCCTGGCTCTCTTCCACCCTTCACGTGGTTGGGCGAAAAGAGCCCTTCGAGGAAGTCGGTCGGCTGGCATACGCAACACGTGGCCAAGCCAGCGCGACCTATGCAGTGTGATCAGTTCATCTATCGAGGGTGAGTTATTTCTCCCGAATACCATGCGACTTACTTCAGCATTGCTGATCCGGTGTTCCCCGGTTTATCCAAGCACTACTCTTTTAGACTTCTGATTCTGACGCGGGTTGTCGAACGTTAAGGAAAAAGCATATCGCACCATCCCTGAAAAACCGAGTAATGGTGAGAAATGCGAATGGTCCGTAAAGGGGGAATATGAGCGACACTGGCTACAGATGGTAAAACATATATTCATTCCACAGAAAACAGGTTTCGTGAAAAGCATCCTCAGCGGGCGTGATAGGAGCGCTTGGTTAACCGAAAGCAGGGTGTAGGAAGACTACCGATAGATACTTCGAGTAACTAGTCACGATCACCAAATTCATATAAACCGCTGAATAATCATCCATCAGCAGACAGGAAGATGAGTACTTGTTCGCGGCAAATTATGATACACGTACAATATACACAACGAATGGGAAATTGGAACGTACCGATCAGCCACCACGAGACCGCACATTGAACAAACCATATCCCCAGCATGCGAATCCTCGATTAGCACTGCATAGGGGTGATACTTGCATTCAAGCTTGCTCCTGAAGTTCAACGTCAGATATGATTGAGCTTACATTGTGAACCAACGTGCAGGCTACAATGCGCCCAGAAATCACAGTGGATAAAGGAGTCGGTCAACCTGTAAAGAGGAGTTCAGTGACCGGGTATACACCATAGGTAATATTTGTGGTACAGAAGCATCCAGAGAGGTTAGGAATAAAGGCTAGGTTAATTTAGACTCATCATCATCATTGTCAGTTGTAATAACCGCGTACTCATCGTACAGTGGTTGTAGCTGCC